TTGATTTTTTTTTTTTTTTTTTTTTTCTTTCTGCTGGTTGGGCTTCCTCTTAAAAAGGAGTCTTGCAGTCTTCTCCTCAGTTCTCGTATAACAGCTTGTCTGCTCATTGATTACTTTTCTTTTATTTTGGCTTAAGAGTTTAACAGTTGCCTTTTTCTGTAGAGGAATATCGTATGCTTAGCGACCTGATCTGATTATTAATTGCATGTATACAATAATTCTGTCTATATAATTTCCCCCCCCCCCCCTTTTTATTTTAAGGAATGGGAATGGAAGGCATGGGCTTTGGAATGAATAAAATGGGAGGTACGTTGCTGTGCATCTAGCTTTGAAGTACACAGTTTTCTTGGTCTATTTATTAGTCTGTTTCCCATTAAACAGACAAGAGTCACTTGGGATCATTGCATTTAAATTTAACATTATTTCCAAACATGATAAGCTACACAAGTTTTAGAAAAGTCACTGTAGTGCTGATTGACATTGTTCTCCCAGGAGGGCTAGCTCCATAAGTAAAGCACAAGATGCTAAGTACTTACAACTGCGGCATTGTTTACAGAAGTGAATAGTGCTAGCTGTGGACTTCTGGCCAAATTCCATGCAGAAGCGAAACTGAAACTGCAGGCTAGGGCAGTTCAGCTTTATATTTTGTCCATAGTCTAAGGAAGTCTAAAGAAGTCCTTGCAACTTGTAACCGCTGTAAAAAGTGGTATGGGAAACTTGTGCATGAGCTCTCACAGCCGCTTTGTTCTTGTTAAGTTTACTTTTTTCTATAATGATGCAGATCAGCTAACTCTGGGCTAAGGTTATGGCAATTTTAAGTTGTGTCCCTACAGGAGTATGTGGATGTAATAGTTGCATCATAACAGCTTATTATCACTTGATAGTGCTACAATTGTAAAATCTGTCTATACCCTTAATGTATACCAATTCTGACTCTCTGAAGTAGCCCCCACCTTCCAAATTACATCTTTCTGGGATGTCATTCTGCATGTGGCAAATTTCCCTAGAATATTCCTGCCAGTATTATGAAAGAGTAGACCTAGTGTAACTCATCCTGATCCACTGTAGTGGTTTATTTTGGAATTCAGTTTTTAATTTTTACTTGTATTAAAAAGATAATTTATTTCAGGAATGGAGGGTCCTTTTGGAATGGAAAACCTGGGTCGCTTTCCATCTGGAATGAACATGGGCAGAATGAGTGGTGAGAAATTACCTACATTATAGATAACCAGTCTGTACAATAGACAGGATATCTCTGTTTAAAATTTTCAGAAATTACTTATTGAAGTGTTATAAGGTCTTGAGTCTTTCTGAATTGCCATCTCCTAGTTAGGAAGTACTGTTTTTAAAAAAAAATGTTCTAGAAACTAAATACTGTGTTTAATGCTTTCAGGAAACTTACTGGGTTGCTAGTAGGGGTGTACCAATTTAAAGATTTTTTTGGGGGCCAATACTGAAGGCTGACTTATTAACCGTATTGGCCAGTACTGATCCATTGCCCATATGCAGGCCTGGCAACTTAGAGAGCAGTGTCTGGTTGGTTAGTCTGTTGGGAGGGAAGGGAGGGGCAGATTGAGGCCCTCATAGTGAGGGAGGGAGTTGGGGCAGGGCCTGGGATTGAACCTCAAGCAGCTCATTGGGGGGGGGGGGAGGTGGCTCCTGCTGCTGCACACACCTGCAGGGAAAGCGTTATGGGGCATGTGTCCCCTGGATCTGTGCATGGGGTAAGGGTGGGATGCTGCTGTGGGCTGGGTGCGGCACCAGGCCTTTCCTGGCAGGGTGTTTGGGCTGGGGCTGTGCTGGGGGTGGAGTGGGGGCTTTGGAGTGGTTCTAGCCCATCCTGTAGCCCCCCTCCCAGTACCATCACCACCCACCCTAAGTGCAGCCCTACCCCTACTTCCTACCTCACCATGGGGGCCTCAGTCTGCACCCCCCCCCCCCCCAAAACACCTGCCCCCCCAGCACTGCTCTCCAAGCTGCCAATAACGTCAATTTTCCTGTTCATCAGTGCTGATTGCAATATGGACTAATGTATCTGTGCACCTCTAGTTGTTAGCTTTCCAGAAAATGGCTGGCTAGGGCATGAGGCTTCACTTGTTCATTTGATGTAACTTGACTTCTAGTAGATGAAGGCATCTTCTTAGATGAGACTTCACCTTTCTGACCAGACCATAATGGGGCAACACTTAGTAGTTGCTATTATAAGAATACTGTACAAATCACTCATTCATTGGAATTTGGATTTGCAGCCTGGATTATTTTTTTTTTTTTTTATTTCATCACTGTGAGTTTCTCTGCACAGACGTTAAAATAGACTATTCACAGACTTTTCACAAAGTCATTTCACAATTGCAAAGAAATACGTGTGCAAGTGTGTATCCTGGTAACTGAGAACTTGTGCTTTAGGCAATATTTTTATATACATTTGGGACTGCAGTTTAAAATACAGGAAGCTGAGCATCCTTTTTGGCTGTTTGCTGATTGCTGCTTTTTTGGTATATAATCATCCTAAAATGTCCAGAGCCTTTTTTTTTTTTTTTACCAGTTTTCTTAGGAACACGAACTCTAAACTCTGGAAAAATCTTAGCCTGGTTGTAGGACAATCTAGAATAAGGATAATATACCACCTAACTTCAATTGGGATGAGGAGGTCAGCCAGAATTTAGAGGGAAGGAGCTGTAGCTCAAGCTAGTTTGTAACTACATGCAGATCTTCCTAAATGTGTTGTTAGGATCCTCCAGGAAAGAAGCTAGAATACTCTTGATATTTCAGAAGTAGAATGCCTTGTCTTGGAGACAAGACACCTTGGGGACAGTTTAAATTTCTAACTTCTTAGTGGCCGGGGGCTGCAGGAATGGAGGACCATGG